TTTTAAGAGTATAAGTAATTCGCGTTAATATTGTTTATCGAAAATATGCTTTGTAAAAACTTTTATTTACAGGTGGATCTGAAACATATGAAACAAGAGGCTGGTAGCAATTTGGTTGCAACAGGAATAGATTTAAGCGACTTCTATTTATCAGTAGAATGGGATATTTTAGAAGTGCCAGCGTCTCGAAACGAGGAATACTATCAATGTTGCAAAGAACCATATTCTGGTAAATAAATTAAAATTAGATACTTATGAGAAATCTATATTAAATAGTAATGTTATAAAATATAATTGTTTTCCTATAAATTACGCAGATATTACATTCAATATTACGATGCGAAGAAAGACATTATTTTACACGGTCAACTTAATAATTCCCTGCGTGGGTATTACGTTCCTTACGGTACTTGTCTTTTATCTGCCAAGTGATTCGGGTGAAAAAGTGAGTAAACGCTATAAAAAATAATAAACAGAACAAGTGTCTATTCTATAAACATGTGTAAAATTTGGAATTTCTACAGGTATCGCTATGTTCTTCCATTCTTCTCTCGTTGACTGTGTTTTTTTTATTGTTAGCCGAAATTATTCCACCGACATCACTGGCTATTCCACTTTTAGGAAAATATTTATTATTTACTATGATCCTAGTTACTTTGTCAATATGGATTACCGTGTGCGTTTTAAATGTTCATTTTCGGTAATTTATATTCTACGCTACTAAATAATGATTATCTTACAACACTATTGAAGTATTAAAAATTATGTACGTTATATTTACATAGTTCCCCATCTACACACAATATGTCACCATGGGTTAGACAAGTATTTTTAAATTGGATGCCGCGAATTTTAATGATGCGCCGAACACCATATTCAACTCCAGAATACGATGATACATACATGGATAGCGGATATACCAATGAAATAGATTTTAGGTAATTACTTGAATATTTGTCGAGTAATTTTAGGTTTCAAAAATGTGTACAATAATTTTCGTAATAGCGTTAGTGACTACCCACTAGAATTGAAAGGAAGTCCGGATGGATTTGAAAGTGTTACCTCCCAGTATAAAAATATACGAGAAGACGATGCTCGGCATATACCACATGCATCAGGTAAATTTTTATGTTGTTATTTAACATATAGCATAGTTCGTATAAAATTGTATTTATTAAATTTATTATGACAATGTGTTCAGTGTTTGCGAAATTCCTCATAAAGGAAACAATGATTTTACAGTATTTTTCTCTTTTGCAAAATGCAAGAAACGTAGAGTGTATTACATGACAACAGTAGAAAAAAATAAATATGTATTAGAATTAATAGTAACCTTATAATTCGTGAATACATATGGCATCGCACGTTATACTATAAAACAACGTCATTTAATGCTTCGTTAAATATACGCTAACGATGAAATATTGCTACAGTTACTGACAGTGAAAATACAATGCCGAGACACTTGTCCCCGGAAGTCGTATCAGCTCTTAAGGGTGTGCGCTTTATTGCTCAACATATAAAAAATGCAGACAAAGATAATGAAGTGAGCTAAACAGTATAATCTTTATCCATTCACTTGTTTTACTTTTGATACTGTTTTTCTTTAATAACTTAATACTTTGATTTTACTCTTAAAAAATATATAGGTACATAGTTCAGATTAATGCAAATCTAACGCTAGATTTTGTCTTCATATTTTTTATATTTTCAGGTCATAGAGGATTGGAAATTCGTAGCTATGGTGTTAGATAGACTTTTTCTTTGGGTTTTTACATTTGCATGTACAGGAGGAACACTTGGTATAATATTTCAAGCACCAAGTTTATATGATACAAGAGAACCTGTGGACCAAAAGCTTTCGGGAATATCATTTCCCAATTATATGTATCCAAATATAGATGAGATTTTACAAGAAGAATAAACTCTGAAATACATGAAACATGCGACTTACATATAAAAACTTATAATATGTAAGTGTTAAATCGTTAACGTTCGATTTGTATTTGTTTTTCTTCGTATAACTTCAGATAGTCTTTTATAAAAACAAAATCTACAGTAAATATAGTCTAAGCAATTTTATTAACCCTGATCAACTAGGAATCTTCAATAAAGAATATTTAAAAAAAAATTCGTAGATGACATGTTTTTTATGTTAAAAAACAGAGGATGATTTTATTCTTTCGGATAAAATTACATGACTTCCTCGTGATAATGAAAAAATATTATTAGTCATATCTAATTTGATATTAATGACTTGTATTTATTTTTTCTCTTCTTAAGGAATTTGGACAATAGACTGACTGTACATGTTTTGATAATGCAAAAGAATGCTTAGATGGATTAGATTTAAAAACAAAAACTACGTTCATTTTTTTCTTTTGCTAAATGTTAAGTACCAAAAGTAAAAACGTCATAAATTCGCTTACATTATTCCTTATATAGTAACGTAGAACTCTGAAAATCACAGAACTAATAAACTTTTGGTTTTTGTTCTGTACAAAATTCGCGTAATTATTCGAAAATTTGGCAATTTAATAATACCGATAAATATAAAAAGTTCTATTCTAAATCAATTATCATCAATTCTGGTGATTCACTGGTACTACTAATAGAGCTGGTTTGGGATTTTTTTGGTGAAGGAGTACCAGTAGCTATTTTTTTTGTACTTTGTGTTGGTGTGGTATTTTCATCGTCGTCGTCGCTGTCTGATATTAAGTCAATAATGACAGCCCGTTTCTTTTCCTTTGGCGGTGCAGGGTTACTTTCATCTAAACATTTATACGAAAGTAATATTATGTATGTAAATATTTTACCAGTTTAATATCTATTTTCAAATATATATTAAAATGTAATAAAAACTCACCAAGATCTACAGTATCCACATCTATTTTACGGTCTTGCGAATTCGTAATAACTTTTGTTTCACTTTTTTCTTTATCTTTCTCTTTCTTCAAAACTAAATTTTCCCACGATCCATCTTGCAACAACTGAATTTCATTCACATCAGGTAACAGTTTTTTAGAGTTTAACACTTCTTGGAAATATCCATCGATAACGAGATTATCATGTAACGCTGGTTTATCACAAACTGGACAATTCCATGTGGGTTTCCTTTCGTTCATTTGGAGAAACAATGATGCATCAAAACATTGCAAATGTGAACATGTTGATGCACGACATGGTGTACACATTCGCATTTTTCCTAACGGGCAAGCTAATGACACTCTCAGCGAAGTTGTTGCTATTTCACTATCAGCATCTTCGTTTAGTTTTTCCTTAACTAAGGAAAAACCATAAATTCAGTAGTACTGGTTTCCAAGAATGAAAAGCATTCTAACCACACAATATAATTACTTACTTAAACCTCTTGTATAGTCCGAGTGTCTAACACCTCTACTTTTTAATCTTGATAATAATTCTGCACTTGAAAGCTTTCTAACTAGATATATCGCAATTGCATATCGTCTACCATAGTCAGCTGACCATGTAACATGAATTTGATTTGCTACAGTAGGAGATAATTTAACTAATGGACTAATATTGACAGGTCGTGGTGGCCTTTTTGGCTCTACTCCCGGCTTATTTGTAGGTATTAGATTCTGAAACAAAAAATTATTTCATTTGTAAAAAAATATTGCTTTGTTGTAACAGAGAATAATATCTTCATACATATGCATATTTTATATTTTTCTATGAACTTACAGGTAAAGGACACAATTTTCCATTAACTTTCACAGCAATGCTTGGTGGAAAACAGTCTTCTTGTTCACATGAAGTTTCTTGTAAACAAAATCGCATTTGTATCTGTAATGTGTACAATATGGATTAAATACTTAACAACCAAATCCATACCGTTTTTTAAACCAATCTCTGAAATATACCTGTACCGTGTAATCCATTTTACTGCCGGCGCGACAATCTCTCGAACATGCTACATCTGTTGACTGTTGTGGTGTTAAATGAAACATGAAGGTATTTTCTTGAAGTCTTATAGATCCTTGAGGCATTAGACTAGATGGCTTCAATAATTCAGCCAGTAAATCAAAAAATGGTAATTTTTTAAGTCTAACATCTGGATGAACAGGATACTGACTCCTAGGTTGTATTTGCAATGGAGATGGTAAAACTTTTGGTGTATATGGGTATGGATTAAAAGCTGCACTTGTGGTTTGCTAAAATGTAAACAGTTTGTATATGTTCAAAAACAGTTTCAATAAGAAATAATATATAAATATTCTGTACCAAAGCTATTAACTTACTTGTGGTGTCACACTAGTATATCCTGTTGATTGATAAACTGGATTAGTTCTAGGTGCCTGAGGTAGAGATGCTTGATGTGCAGGTGGTAAATCCTTCCCACTGGAAACTGAAGATTGTGTCTGTTGCTGCTGGCTGATAGCTTGTCTTTATATTAGTTAAAAATACAATGTAATATTGTTAAATTCAATTTGCACAATTAGACTATATATTTTTCATATTTTATGTGATCTTACCTTGTGTAATAATTTCTGGAGTGCATGTTTTGATCTATTTGTGGCTCTCCAGAACTACCTGTTTGACCATACATTTGATGTGCAGCTAATTGATCAGCTCTAAACAAAATGTTGTAACAAATAGTAAGACTAGGGCTTTATCTTGATCAATCTACAGATATTTGTAATACTTAAAGTATAATAATATGCCATAGTAGGTATAAAGAAAAATATATTTTTTAACACTTTACTGAAATGAACAAAGAAATAAAATACTTAAAAATTTGATAAATAGAAATAGTCATTCTTATAATTTAACATAATGTACATGAAAAGTTGCATTGACATTAATGTTATACTCACTGTATGGTTTTATATAATTCACGTATTTTGAGTTGAACAGGATGAGATCTCAAACGCAACAATTCTAGTGCACGTGCTTGTAATTCGTTTTTTCTACCTGATTTATTTCTACCAGCAAAACCAAGAAGCATCTGAAGTTCAGATACTCGAAAACTCAATACCATATTCTGCAATCATAAAATTATGACATCCATATATTTTATATACTACACTTATTCTAAAAATGTTACTTTAATAAAAAAAATATATTTTGCAAAAAAAATACAGGAATTAAAAAAAAAGAAATTAACATTGT